CTTATGCTTTGGCTCTCTCCCACTCTAACCTCTTTTTTTTTTTTTTTCCTTCCCCTCCCCCATGGGTTCCTGTTAAGTTTCTCAGGATCCACATAAGAGTGAAACCATATGGTATCTGTCTTTCTCTGTATGGCTTATTTCACTTAGCATCACACTCTCCAGTTCCATCCACGTTGCTACAAAAGGCCATATTTCATTTTTTCTCATTGCCATGTAGTATTCCATTGTGTATATAAACCACAATTTCTTTATCCATTCATCAGTTGATGGACATTTAGGCTCTTTCCATAATTTGGCTATTGTTGAGAGTGCTGCTATGAACATTGGGGTACAGGTGCCCCTATGCATCAGTACTCCTGTGTCCCTTGGATAAATTCCTAGCAGTGCTACTGCTGGGTCATAGGGTAGGTCTATTTTTAATTTTCTGAGGAACCTCCTGTGTATTATAATTCTTAAATTTAAAATTTCTACCTGCTAATTATAAAGGAAGTAAAACTTTTCATTATAACTAATTACACTTAAATGTTCACTTTGAGTCTCTGTGTAAAGATGACAAATTTTAGCAAATTAAGTTTAAGATGTGTTATGATTTTTAAAGTGCTGTACAGACAGCTCCAGATCTCTGACATATCTTGCATAATTGTTTCGTGGGCGAGATAATTTCTCCTTCTTCCTCACTTGTGATTTCCTTTCTACTGTGTCTCTCAGTTTGTTCTTTTTCAGACTGCATGTCCTGATTCAGTTGAGAAGCTGTTTGTTAAGAGTGGTTGGGTATAATTTTGCTGTGTCCTCCACTCTATCCTCCCTAGTGCTGGTTCTATCTTCTGAGCACATTCCTAAGCTCATACTGCTACTGTCATAGCTCCACCTTATAACTAGCTTCTGTAATGAATATTTGAAAAAAGCCTAAGTCATGAATCCCATTGCAGTGCAAATACCTCATTTGTGTCGCCAAAGGCCAACCATAAAGTGAATTTTTTTCCTAAAATGACCTAAGTGAAAAAACAGAAGGGAGAATTGGAGGGAACATTTTCTTCCTGGACTATAAACTTGTTAAATAGGAAAGTTGTAAACTGAAGAGAATTGACCAGTTGATATTTAAGGTCCTTCTCAGCACTAACATGTTTACAATTCATTGAATTTCATGGATTTTGACCTGGCAACCTCCCACCACGTGTAAAACTATTTTAGTAGAAAATTGCTTTTAAAGCTTGGGAAAATTTTCAGAAAAAATCTTTAGAACTCAGTCTAGGTATAAACTGAGGTCTATACATTTAGATAGAATATTTGAATTTAATTATGAGAAATGAGAGATGATTAAAAAGAAACAGACTTACATATATAGATTTTTATAGTTTCCATTTTTACCACTGTTAGATATTGCCAGTTCAAATGTCACAGGAGATTTGGTGTGATTACACTTCTTAGAACCATGTAGTTTCCATGAAATAACAGCAGATCTTGTTTGAATATCAGAAATCTAAAATAAATAACAAAAATTCAAGTGGGACATTTAAAAAATATAATCTGTAACTTATGATATAATCTTTCCTTACATCTTTTTGATGCTAAGAATATTGGTCTCCTCATATTAGGTGCTTAAATACTGTGATTAAACAATGCCATTAATATTATCTTTAATAATGCCATTCTGAATCTTTATGTATAGCTAAAGGAGATTATGAAATTTTAACTAGGTCCAGGCTTCAAATTAACACTTTACTAGAGAAAAATATCAGTGAACTTGCACATTTTAGAGTGAAAAGGTAAATTAAAAGGAATGCTTAAATTTTCAGTTTAGTTACTTACTATAGGTTTCTCAATGCTGAAACAGCATGACTTTCCACGTTCTGTTATGCATTCTAAAAGAAAACACCCCAAAATAAAATATTACATTGGCAAAAACAAGAGAAAGAAGTTAGATATCTATCATCCAACTACAAATACATCATCACCAGGGGAACTACTAAACACCTAGTAGCAATTTACATTAAAGTTTTAAAAGAAGAGAGCAGTGTAAAGTGTATATTATTAAACAAACTCCAAGAAAAGACAGAGTTCCCAATTTAAATGAAATAATGTGAATTACAACTATGAAATAATCTGCAATGTTTCACTGGAAGGAAACTAGAAAAAAATTATGTGGTGTGCATACAAGATACATGACACATTTTGCATGAGGATAGTCATTTCTCCATGATTTAAAAAGGGATCTCAACTGTGGTTTCATTAAGAATTTAGATTTAGGGATACAAAGAGGACAAGAGGAAATGAAAATAGAGAATGGCACCTAAATATTTAAGATGTGCTGAGATTCCTAAACATTAGGATGTTTATTCATTGGCAACAAAACCAAACTCTTGACCTTGCCCTTTTCTGCAGCATTTGATGATGCTTTGTTTTGTTTTCCACCTGGTTTCTGCTTGATGTCTCTACTTCTTGTAGCACTCCATTTCTTTCCATGGCTAGTCTCAACATGAGCACTGACGGTGTTGGAATTGCTGGCAGCATTGGAAGCAGTGAGATCACTGTCAACGGCCAAAGTGCTGGGAGCACTTTCAGAGATGGGAGTGCTGGGAACACTTTTAGAGATGGGAGTGCTGGGAGCACTTTCAGAGATGGGAGTGTTAGAAGCATGGCCAGAAATGGAAGGGCTTGGAGTGCTGTCAATAGGTGATGGTTTGGGAGTGCTGTCAGAGTGGAAGGCGTGGGGACATAATTAGTGCTGGAAGGGTTTGGAACACTATCAATTGTGGAAGGAAGAGCACTGTCTGTAGTGGGAGTACTAGGCACATGGTCAGTGGAAGAATTGCTAGGAGTATCATCAGCAATGTTAGTGCTTTGAGGGTTGTCAACAGTGTAAGTACTGAGAGTATTGTCAGCAGTGTAAATGTTCTGAGCATTGTTTACCGTGTACATACTTGGGCCATTGTCCACAGTGAAAGTGCTTGAAGTGTTGTCTACAGTGTAGGCACTTGATGTATTATCAACAGTGTAGGTTTGTGTAGTATTTTCCACAGTGTAGGTGCTTAAGGTATTGTCAACAGTGTAGGTACTTGGAACATAGTCCACAGTGTAAGTGCTTGGAGTAGGAGGAATACTGGAGAAATCATTGGTTTTGTTCACAAGCAAAGAGGTGTTGTTAACCATATAGCTATTGTGTACGCCACCTTTACATTCTCCCAGATTTTTCTTCATATGTTCTTCCATTTTAGCAGCCCTTTCATCAAACTGGTTATAATTTGCTCTTCCATGGGAATAAGTTTCTAAAAGAGACAATGGACTACTGTTTAAAATTATAATAATTACCTATCTCAGGGTCTTTTTAATATATTCCTCAAACCAGCCAAAAAACACTGATAAGCTATGTTTAGCTTTTCAAATTTTCCCTATTTTCCTGTAATACAGATATTAGGTATGTGTGTGTGTGTGTTCCTATAATGTTTTGATATGTATAGAAAGAAAAACATGAGCAAATACAGATAGTGTTTTCCCAGGGAATGTCTCCACTTCCAAATTTTAAGGTTCTAAGATGATTGTAATGTTGACCCTTCAGTGTCTTTTATATTCCCACTGCGTGAAATTAATAATCAAAACATTCTTTTATAAATTTCTGGTATGATTATATTGACCCAATTAGTAAAAATAAATATAAATCACGTGTTATATCAAAGTACAAAAAATTTATAGAAAATTATGTTTATGAGCATTTTATCTAAGATAGAAACCAGTACTTATTTTTATTAATCTAATATACATGCATAAATGCAATCATTCCCAAAACTTTCCCAAAGCTGTTAATTTTAACAAACTCAAAATATTTCCTGTTTAAGAAAATTATATACTACCTTGTTGCTCATGGTATATAAGTGTTGCTAGTGGTGGTAGCGGTGGTGGTGGCAGCGGTGGTGGTGGCAGCTGCTGTGACATAGGCTCTTGGATGTAAGGTGGTGGAAACTCCCTTTGAGCTGGGGGATGCATAAGTTGAGCACCTTGTGGATATATAGGAGAGGATGGTGTAATGAAGTGTGGTACTTGTTGTATAGGAGCAGGCATGGTTGTGTGATAGTCAATTGTCTGAGGCACAATGATAATTTTGCGAATGCCATTTTCTTCCACCACCTAAGTTGGAAGACAGAACCATATAAACATATTGGAATTAATAAAAGTTGGCATTTTTCTACTAAGTGTTAGATTTATATCCTGTGCTCTTAATTTAGAGAACCTAAGGGATCAAAAAGTAATAATGAAGTGAAACTATATCAAGCAGAAGATAATTCTTTCTTGTCTCCACAACCATAGCTTTCAAAAAGGTAATTTTTTGACAATAGATAATATATTGACATGGTTTAAAACCGTAAAGTATAAAAAACTATATATGAATAAATTCCCTCCTAAACCTTATCTGCTCCCCCAATAGATAATGATTGTTCTTAGTTTCTTATGAATCCTTCCAGAATTTGTCTATACAAGCAAGAATACAGATTGTTATTTTCCTCATTTTTATGGCATAAAAGGTAGCATAATTTGCACTATTACCATCTGTACATTGCTTTTTACACTTAGCAATATATCCTAAAGATCTTTCTATATCAGTACATAGAACTTCTCCACGTTTTTGCACAGCTGCATAGTACTCCATTATATGGATGTCCTCCATTATACACAGTTCTCCATTAACAAGCACGAATTGTTTCCAACCTTCTGAGATTATAAAGAATATTGTAATCAAAAGTCTTGTACACTTATTATTCCACATTTGTAAAAAAAAATCTGTAGGATAAATTCCTCAAAATGGAATTGCTAGGTGAAAAAGTATATGCATTTGTATTTTTGTTAGGTATTGTTGAAATAGATAATTCCATTTAGAATCAAACCATATTGACTTAAGCATGTTTTTGATTTCCACAGTTGTGCATTAGAAACAGACACATTCTCAATTATAAACTTCTGAGGCCATGGAATATCTTGTTAATATCTATAGAAGCCAAACATCCTTTTCTATTTAAGTGCTTAGTAAATATTTGAGGAATTTACAGAAAGTGTCCTTTGTTGTCTAGCATCTGTGAATGAAATACTACTAAACTGAAAATACTAATTTTAGGGACTAAAGCCTACATACTATCAGAAGCCATTACTGCAGCAATTGTAATAGATAATTAAGATTGGTTAAGGTACTCAGAAACAAAAAGCAATAGAGGATTAATAAATGTGAAGAGATATAAATTCGTTAGATGAATAAGGAATTATTTACAAGACAATCTAAGGGAGATTTGGTTAAGCATCACTGAAATTGCTTTTTAGCAATGATGATAACAATAAAATGAACAACTAAATAGTATTCCAGAAGTTCTCTTATCATATAGTGACACAAAAATAACTGTTGAATGATGCCTTAGTGCTAAATATTAAATTAAAACATACTAGTATACCTGAGACATGTAACCAGGAGGAAGATATATTGGTGGCAAAGTGCCACTTGGTGACATTAGAGGTACATCAGCGGGTCCTAAAAGAGAATTATTATTAATAAACTCTTTAATAACTTTAAACAAAGTCCATTTAACTTTTCACAGTGAAAACTAGCTGCAAACTTTAACAACAGCCAGCCATTTTGAAAGTGCAAGTTGTTTACTTGTAAAGGAGACTAGGTATGAATGTAGATGAATCAATGCAAATTCATCCAAATGATGGAAAATAAAGCACATAATGTGGATTGGGTAAAATTTATATTATAAAAATGTTGGCAAATTTTACTGCTAATAAAAATGAACTATCAGCTTTCCAGTATAATTGTACTTTTACTTATGTATATATTGAGTAATAGTTTTACTCTGAACCATAAAATATATTTCATATAGTGATGTTACATTATAAAATTTAAATTTTAAGCTTTTCAGTGATAATAGTAAAGTAAAATAGTTTTTAGAAAACAGAGTAATATAGAGAAGCACCCAATACTACTCATGTGATACCCTACTTCTATACTAGGTATTCTTACCGTCTTATAAATACAATTGCATAGGAACTAAAAATCAGACATAGAATGGAAACTTTCATGAGTCATCATTCTTTTATTTGAAATTATTATAATTAATGTTTAGTTTAAATAATATATGTGGCTTTCAAGTCATAGAATGGCAATTTATTTTTAATAATGGGGAAAATAATAAATATTAGTTTGCAATAAACTTTATATAGCAGCCATGTGGAATCCATTGCTAAATGAGAATGTTTAAAAAAATTTTTGAGACATAACTCTAAAGCACTTCAGGATACAAAATAATGGCATAAGAACAGAAACAGTCATCACAATTTGAAATAATACTAAATCTTATAGTACATAAATATTAATTTCATATTGCTGTGGAATCAATTCTATATGTATATTTATACATATATATCAAATTAACATGCATATATAAATAATTTACCCCCTTATTGTATATTATTATATTTTGAATATCTAGTATAGTGCTGGAACATGATAGGCACTAAAGAAATATTTGAATGTATGAATGAATCAGCTCTCCGAAGGCCTCATAATAACCTCCAATAAGAGCATAGTCTAAAACTATTGGTGGCCATCAATATATTCCAAATGTGAAATTTTTCAAATGGAATTCTTGATTTAATCTTCAATTTAAAAAAGTATCTTACATGAAGATTTCTAGTAAGACTAGCTCTGTTTGTTCTATTGATACTATGCTCCTGTGAGGACTATGTAAATTTAAGAGCATTCCAGGGTCCCTGGGTGGCTCAGTTGGTTAAGCATCCGACTTCGGCTCAGGTCATGATCTCATGGTCCATGAGTTCGAGCCCTGAGTCGAGGTCTGTGCTGACAGCTTAGAGCCTGGAGCCTGCTTCAGATTCTGTGTCCCCCTCTGTCTGCACCTCCCCTGCTCGCACTCTGCCTCTATCTCTCAAAAATAAATACACATTAAATTTAAGAGCATTCCATCTGGCTCCAACAGGAAAGGATACTAATTACTAGTAATCTATTTACTTTCAAGTAACACAAACCTGATTATACTTTTACTGACCTTGGATATTCTGAATATTCCCATCATCAGACTTGAGGGTGAGGGTCTCCCCAGGGTTAACTTGCACCAATATAATCTAGAAATAAACCACTCTTTGATGACATACTTTTCTGTTAATCTATGAAAAATCATTATTGTAATTCTTAAAAGTTTTTATTTAAATTGCAGTTAGTTAACATAAAGTGTAATATTAGTTTTAGCTGTACAATTTAGTTATTCAACACTTGCATACAACACCTAGTGCTAATCACAAGAGTGTACTCCTTAATCCTCATCACCTATTTAACCCATCTCCCCAGGACCCTCCCCTGTGCTAATCACTAGTTGGTTCTCTACAGTTAAGAGTCTATTTCTTGGTTTCTCTCTCTCTTTTTCTTTGCTCATTTGTTTTGTTTCTTAAATTCCACATATGAGTGAAATAATATGGTATTTGTCTTTCTCTAATTGACTTATTTCACCTTAGCATAATGCTCTCTACCTCTGTCCATGTCATTGCAAATGGAAAAACTTCATTATTTTTTATAGCTGAATAATATTCCATTGTATAGATATACCACACCTTATTTATCCATTCACCAGTCAGTGGACATTTGGACTGTTTCCATGATTTGGGTATTGTAGATAATGCTGCTATAAACATCGGAATGCACATATATCTTCAAATTTGTATTTTTATATCCTTTGGATAAATACCTAGCAATGTAATTCGTGGATCATAATGTAGTTCTTTTTTTTTTTTTTTTAACTTTTTGAGGAACAAGACAGGGATATCCATTCTCACCATTCTTTTTTAACCCTAGCCTTGGAAATCCTAGCCACAGCAATAAGACAACAGAAAGAAATAAAAGGCATCCAAATCAGCAAAGAAGAATTCAAACATTCACTATTTGTAGATGACATGGTATTCATTATATTCATCTATGTAGATGACATGGTTTTCTATGTAGAAAACCCCCCAAAAATCCATCAAAAAATTCCTAGAACTCATACATAAATTTAGTAAAGTCACACAATACAAAATAAAATCAAAATACAGAAATCTGTTGCATTTCTATACACCAGTAATGAAGCAACAGAAAGAGAAATCAAGGAATCAATCACATTACAATTGCACAAAAAAACCATAAGATACCTAGGAATAAGCCTAACCAAAGAGGTAAATGACTTGTGGTCTGAACTCTATAAAACACTGATGAAAGAAACTGAAGATGGCACAAAGAAATGGAAAAACATTCCATGTTCATGGATTGGAAGAACAAATTTGTGTAAATGCCTATACTGCCCAAAGCAATCTACACATTTAATTCAATCCCTATCAAAATACCAACAGCATTTTTCACGGAGCTAGAACAAACAATCCTAAATTTGTATGAAACCAGAAAAGACCCTGAGAAGCCAAAGCAACATTGAAAAAGAAAAGCAAAGCTGGAGGCATCACTATTCCAGACTTCAAGGTCTATTACAAAACTAGTGATCAGGACAGTATGGTACTGGCACAAAAACAGTCACATAGATCAATAGAACAGAATAGAAAGCCCAGAAAGAAACCTACATCTATATTGTAAATTAATCCTTGGCGAAGCAGGAAAGAATATCCAATGCAAAAATGGCTCTTCAACAAATGGTGTTGGGAAAACTGGACAGCAACGTGAAAAAGAATGAAACTGGACCACTTTCTTACACTGTACACACACATAAATTCAAAATGGATGAAAGACCTAAATGTGATGAAGCCATCAAAATCCTAGAGAAGAATATGGACAGCAACCTCTTTGACATTAGCCACACAGCAACTTACTTGATATATTTCCTGAGGCAAGGGAAACAAAAGCAAAAATAAACTATTGGGGCCTCGTGAAGATAAAAAGCTTCTGTACAGCAAAGGAAACAATCAACAGAACTAAAAGACAACCTATGGAATGGCAGAAGATATTTGCAAATGACGTATCTGATCAAGGGTTAGTATCCAAAATGTATAAAGAACTTATAAAACTCAACACTCAAAAAACAAATAATTCAGTTAAAAATTGGCAGGAAAAGACATATCATATGTTTTCACTCATATGTGGATCTTGAGAAACTTAACAGAAGACCATGGGGGAAGGGAAGGGGAAAAAATAGTTACAAACAGAGAGGGAGGGAGGCAAACCATAAAGAGACTCTTAAATACAGAGAACAAACTGAGGGTTCATGGGGGTGGGGAGAGGGGAAAGCAGGTGATGGGCACTGGGGAGGGCACTTGTTAGAATGAGCACTGGGTGTTGTATGTAAGCCAGTTTGACAATAAATTATATTAAAAAAATGGGCAGGAGACATGCATAGACATTTTCCCAAAGAAGACATCTAGATTGCCAACAGACACATGAAAAGATGCTCAACATCATTCATCATCAGGGAAATACAAATCAAAACTGCAATGAGTTATCACCTCACACCTGTTAGAATGGCTAAAATTAACAACACACACAAAAAACGGGTGTTGGTGAGGATATGGAGAAAGTGAAACTCTCTTCCACTGTTGGTGGGAATGCAAACTGGTGCAGCCACTCTGGAAAACAGTATGGAGGTTCATTATTTTCATTTTGAGAAATATTCAGACTCACTAATTATTGAAGTTTTGAAATGCTCAAGAAGAAGAGTACAATTGGATCAATGGGGACTTAGGAGAAATTCAATATCCCTAAGTAATGGGTCCTTTCCAACCCAAATGAAACTTAATAAAGTCATAGAAAATAGGTGCATTGACATGGAAAGACCAACACCCACTCTCCAGTAAAAAAACCCTACAAAAAAAGAAAAACAGAAAACAAAATTTGTCTGATGGTAAAATTCAGACATACTTGTTGTATCCAGTATTGTGGACAAGAAGGCCATCTTGTATATCTCTTGGGATGAGTCATCATTTGTGAATAATTTGTAGTATACTGTGTTCCAACAGTGGTGTCCAGATGATAATTCTCCACCTGGTAAAAAAGGACTTTTAATTTCAATATGGTCATTTTTATCGCAGTTCCTTTTGATATGGTGATGTCAAGCCAATGTATAAGCCAGAAGTACAATATTTACTTTTTTTGAATTCCAAAGAAAAGTTAAGTGATCTTTTCACATTGTGTATGTAGATAAGACTTTTCTTGAATAGATTTTAAAAATTATTTTATATTTTATTTTAGAGGGAGAGAGAGAGAGAGAGAGAGAGAGAGAGAGAGAGTCCCAAGCAGGCGCCACACCCAGGGAGGAGCCCAGTGCAGGGTTTGATCCCACGACCTCAGGATTGTGACATGAGCTGAAATCAAGAGTCAGAAGCTCAACTGACTCAGCCACCCACGTGCCCCTTGAATAGGTTACTTTAAATGAAAAAATGTTAGGGGCCCCTGGGTGGCTCAGTGGGTTAAGTGTCTGACTTCAGCTCATGATATTGCAGTTCATGGTTCTGAGCCCTATGTCAGGCTCTGTGCTGACAGC